GGGGGCGAATACCAGGCCTGAGGCCCAGGAGCAAGGTAGAGGGTAGATGACATTTTTTTCAGAGACACATTCAATGTCACAAAGCAGGGCCTCACTTTTCATGTCGTCCAGGTCAGCAGACGCCAGCATCTGGGCCTCGGCTTCATCGGTGGGGACGCGTTGGTACACGGTGCTCTCCAGAGTGGTCATGCTGCCGATGCATACCCGCTCCTTCAGGTCGTAACTCGCCCGCTGCCCGCTCACCAGCTGGCTCCAGGACTTGTGCCTGTCCCATCCCCGAGACAGACCCCCTCTGGGCCCGGGGAGGCTGTGGAAACAAACAGGGACCCAGGCAACAGCCACGAAGCAGAGCTGGGAGCACCGGGTGGGAGGGAAGGGGCAGGGGCCACTCCCAGTCTGAGCTCCTGTGTGTAGGTATTTGGACTTTCCTTACAGGATCATCCTCAGGGCCGGAGAGGCAGAGGATGGGTCCCCTCCGCCCTGGCCCCAGACCAAAGTTCCCTGTCGCTGTGTGGCTGTAGCTGTTTTCTGAGCCTCACTCAGCGGTTCAAAGCTCCACACGAGCAGGGAGCTCAACTGACCAGCGGGGGCGGAGGGCAATCTAGCTCAGCGGCAGCTAAACGCTACTGCTGCGTGCTTGAACTAAGCAGCTCCCAGAGCACGTTTACAAGTTGCCCGATTGCCAGTCTGGATTTGTCCAGCTTCAGCATCCAGCCATTGGCTCAGGGGAGACGGAGACCCATTCTCAAAGATCTGGAGAGCTGTGCACTGTGATCAAGCCGCATGTTAATATTCTCTGGGACAAGTGAAAGGGACTGAGCTCCAGGAAGCTATCACGTTCAGAGCCAGGCCCCTGTGGTGGAGACATTACTCTGCTGGCGGGGCAGCTTCTCCACCTCCGGAGAGCCGCCCATCGACACAGCACTAGGTCGGCGTCGCTGCGTCAGACGGGTGTGGCCATCCAAGCACTGGAGAACGTGCCCAGGCCTGGTCTATACGAAGTTTGCTAACTGGTTGCTGGTTTTCTAACCCGGAATCATTCTTGTGGCTCTTCTCTACAATTTATCAGCGTCCTTCCTGAGTTGTGAGCCCCAGCCCTGGAGAGAGGCTCCAGAGCAAAGCACAGAGGCCAAACAGCCTCCCCGAGGTCCCGCTTGTCCCTCCCAACACTGCTCCGCAGAGCGAGTCCCCGCCCTGCAGGGTGGTCTCCACTCTGTTCCCAGAGGCAGGCACTTACACCCAGCCATGTTCAGTGCATGCGGCTGGTTTGTGCTCGGTGTAGCAAGTGCTCCAGGTTGCTCTGCATCAATGCTTTGTCCCCTTTATTCTTCAAACGTGACCAGCCACGATGCAATGCTTGGAATAACCAGGCAGCCCCAGGCCAGCGCATCCTACCTGCCGAGCGAGGCCGGGCCGGTCTCCAGCAGCAGGCCAGCGTGGGGCGGCAGTCGGGATAGGCCGCTGTGCTCCTTCTCCACATGGAACCATGCAAGGGCCCCAGCAGCACAGGGCTCCTCGTCACTGCCAATGGTGAACTGCAGAGGAGACAACTCTGAGCACGAGAGCTGGACCCTGCCCTGCATGAGCAAGCCAGACGCCACCCCCCTGCCGGGAAAGGACGATTCCCCCCTCTGCCACCCAGGAAATGGGCCATCCCAAACCCTCCCCCTCGGGCATGGAGCCAGGCAGACCTATGCCACCCATTCCAGCCCCTCCTCCCACCACCTAGAGCATGGCCTACCCTACCCTCACGAACCCCGTGGGGGTGCCGGACTCCCCTGGCCCCTCTACAGCAGCCTTGCCTTTGGTTTGCGGGGAAGCTCAGACTGAGGAGCATCCTTCTCAGGAGCCTCGGTCTCAGACTCTGGTGAGACCTCTCTCTCCAGGGCCTCCTCTGCCTCCGACTCTCCTTCCTCCTCTTCATCCCCCTCCTCCTCCTCCACTTCCTGGATGGTGGGAGTGACGTCTGAGGGGGGCACCGAGGTTTTTTTCTTTTTTCTCTTTCTCCTCTTCCTCCGGCTGGCATGAGGGAGCCTCTTGTGGAACTTGAGGGCAGGCGGCAGGTGGGTGGAGAGGGGATGGTGGATGTGGTGGGAGGTCTGGCGGTGGACTGAGAAAGACAGAGGGAGAAGTGATGAACACGGCAGTGACAGGGGGATGGAGCCCCGCCAGCCTCTGTAGGGATGTGGCAAGGATGAGTAACTCTGGCTAGGCACCTCGTTATGCTCTGTGATGGAGCTGTCTCTGTGCGGGACACCACACAGCAAGGGAGGGCCCTCCTGAAGGCTGTCCAGGGGGCCACAGAGCCCTGAGGGCAAAGGCCGTCCCTGCTTCTTAGCTTGGCAGAAGAGGGCAGCCCCTTTACCAATTGCCCTCCTTTGCTCACAGAAACGCCAGATGCCCCTGAGAGCACAACCCTGGAGGGACCCCAAGACCTGAGTGCAGGTACAGATCTGCTCCTTAGTCACGTGTGTGCCAAGGCCTGGGCCTGCCGGCTCCACTGGAAGGTTACTTCTTAAACATCTGGATCAAAAGCAAGGAGGGGCCAGCCTTTCGTTTACGTCGATCCACAGCAAGGCATTTGCGGTGGGTGAAGCCACAGGAGTGCCCAGGACTTCTGACCTTCTTTAAACCTAACTTTTCTAATAATCGATATTCTAGACATTTCATAAGCCCAGTTTAGACTTAAACTGATTCATAAGGAACATGGAGACAGGAGCAGCAGAGTGGGGGCTATCCTGTTTATTGCATCAAGTGTCACACGTATGATTACCTGCCCTGTGGAGGGGTGGCGTATGTGTGCACCCGTTGCAAGGAGCTCCTGGCCCTCAGAGACCGAGTTTGGGCTTTGGAGGCCAGGGTGGCTGAACTGGAGGCGCTAAGGGAGGTAGAGAGCTATGTTAAGACTTTCCGGGACACTGTAGTACTGTCCCACCTCCAGTCTGAGAGCCCCAGTGCTCTTAAGGAGGATGAAAGTCTCAAGGGAACAGAGCATTCAATGGGAGCAGAGGGAAACCATCCCGTAGTTGGGACCCTCCTCCCAGAGGATGTTGCGGTATCCTCTCGCACTGAGGATACCTCTGATGGGGAGGGAATGCCAGTTAGGAAGAGGCAGGTGTTAGTAGTGGGTGATTCGATCGTTAGAAACATATAGTTGGGTTTGTGATGACTGGGAGAACCGTATGGTCACTTGCCTGCCTGGTGCGAAGGTTGCGGATCTCTCAAAGCATCTAGACAGACTTATGCGTAGTGCTGGGGAGGAGCCGGTGGTCGTGGTACATGTAGGTACCAATGACGTAGGGAAA